AGGATTAGGAATTGTATAAAGCACAGTAGCTCAATTCAGGATTAGGAATTGTATAAAGCACAGTAGCTCAATTCAGGATTAGGAATTGTATGAAGCACAGTAGCTCAATTCAGGATTAGGAATTGTATGAAGCACAGTAGCTCAATTCAGGATTAGGAATTGTATGAAGCACAGTAGCTCAATTCAGGATTAGGAATTGTATGAAGCACAGTAGCTCAATTCAGGATTAGGAATTGTATGAAGCACAGTAGCTCAATTCAGGATTAGGAATTGCTACTACAATGTATTGCAATCTTATATGCTGTAACCCAAAATAGTTCCAATATATATATATAGAACTAAATATATTTGTGGTTGTTGACATGTGTGGCAAGTTAATTTTAACCCATTATTAAATCTGTGTTAGTTTAGCTCAGTCAGAGGTCGGTCTTGACCCCGAGTTTTGTATTTAACCCAGATGTTTACAGCACATAGCACAATGCTATTGTAGTGAGGTATTTAGGATTTAACCATTCTGAAAGAAGTTTTGTTCCTTTGAAGTGATTTTAGATACAACTTAATTAATGACCTCGAAACAAGGACTTTTATAAAAGAGACAAGGACATCTTCCATATGCGGGGGGGGGGGTTGAAATTAAAAATAAAACTTTGGGGTTGGGGATTCAATAAATACGCCTGTCCCAATCAATGTTGAGAATATTGAGAATATTACTAAATTACAAACACCAAAGACACTGGCAGTAGCAATGCATAATTTTTGCATGTCAGTGAAAATTTCAAAATTTGGTAGCAGTTAGAATTTCTCTGGGATTCCATGACACGATGTGTCAGTGTCTTTCACAAAATTTCTTCTTTACAAATGCCATAAAATACAGATGTAAACAAGACTACACTAGATATTTGAATAACAAACTATTTGTTGCATATGTACCAAGATTTAGTAAGTTAAAATAAAATGCTTCCACAACTCAATAAATGTTTCATTATCATTTAACAGAACTGCAGAAGACTGCGTAATATACAAGTCATGTTTTCCTTGGCCGAATGTTACAATGTTGAGGAGTACATTGCAATGAATGACATTTTAAAAGAAAGTTGTATAAATATTAATATGAATCCTAGTATTGCCTAAAATCATTATCATTAATTTAATAGATTGGATATTATTGCATTATATCAATATGATTTATCTTCCATGATGAATTTCAAATGTGCTCAGTAGCATACTCTGGAGATGAGAAACTTGAATTTGGCTCAAATATTTGTTGGTGAGAAGAGAAGCAAAAAATAAGAGTAATTAAATTTTCTTTGGTCTATTTTAATATAAAATGTTTTTAAATAGTCAAGCCATTTACTGAAAGCTGTATAAAAAGAATTTGAAATATTTATAATGCACTATACAAGGAATCACCTCTCTTCCATCCTTGCCATTATACTATGAATACAATAGGAGGTGTATATGCAACCTGATGAGCCCTTACATTTGAAGGTATTGTTATAAATACAATAGTACATACACATGTGGACCATGACTACTTTGATAACAGCACACATGAATAACCTGCCATATGCACACAGGAAATGTTGACTTTTCTATGAGATTAAATTGTCAGGTTAATAAGGATGTGATATACATGTAGGATACAGACTTGTGGTAGTGCTAATTTCATGATAAATGCCAGTCACTTGCTGAAGACAAATAAATGCAAAACTTAGTGATACATGTATAATTGTAATAATTAACCCTCATTTGGTTTCATCATAACATACCGACAATAATTGTGGACATAGTGAAATGACTTCAAAACTATTCATGACCAGACAGTTTTTTAGCACTAAATTAGTACAATTTAAAATATTATATTGAATGTACCATCTACTGCAGTACATGCATTATTTGATCAGAATTTATAATTTTCAGCTGTCAGCTGAAAAATTATAATGTTTTATTTTTTTAATTCAGGTCAACAGCATGTCTGATACAATAAAAATCTGTTGTAGGTAGCTGTGAGGTAATTTCACTTTAGTTTTAATGAATAGTAATCAAAGACTTGTAAAGGCAACAACACACCACCAGACAAAAAAAAAATAGTATAGAATATCGATGTATAGACTGAAAGAAATACTGTAACCCAGACTGCGAGAGAGAGAGATTGAGTCAGCCACCATAAAACCACTTCAGGCCCAGGGGGGTAAAGCAATTTCAGTACAAGCAAATCTGATTATGTAGTTGTTATTGTATACTTTCAAGTGGTTGCTGTGTATGTTAAAAGAAACAATCCAAAATATTTACCACTAGAAATATTTAAATCCATGCAATTTATTAAGGCATATTAAATAGTAGCCACAAGAAGGGGCTTTACAGACAGGAGGGCATGGACTTTACGGACTTAAATTTCATTTTTAAAATTTGTGGTTAATTTTGATTTCGCAGATATCTAATTGACAATTCCCAGGTCACTGCAGGACAAAATATCTACTACATTTATGCCGTTTAAATACGCAATGACTTAAATAATGGTGCTGCAGTGTAGCTGAGTAAATAGATTTTTTAAACGAAAAGAGAATTATTAAGACAGTAAAGTATAAAACTTGCATATTTAAATACCACAAAAAACAGGATCCAAAACCTTATGTAGATTAACAAAGTATAATAATAATCTCATACATTTATGAAGTTTTGAAATGAACAATGAAGGTGCACATATTATAATGGCAACAGCAATAGACACAAACACTGCACTATTCATGTTGAAAACTGTACTAATGTATGCCATATATACAGATACAATTAGGGCAATGTTATT